AGAGAGGGCAGGAAGCTATGTGGGGCAGGTAGGTCTGGGACTGGGCTATGGGGCAGGACAGAGAGGCGATGGAAGGGGCCTTTCTTCAGGGAAATGCCCACGGAGGAAGGTGTCACGGGGCAGCCCTGCTGAGGTGGGGAGAGGGACGAAGGCTGGTGGGGGGTAGCCCTGCCTTAAAGAGGGCGTCAGGGGGTGGACTGAGCCCAAAGTCCCCCCCACTGGAGACCTCAGGGCTCTGCCACACCCATCCCAGGGAGGGAGCAGTGGAGAGGTCCTCCAAGCAGGAGAGAGTGGCTGCATCAGCTGCAACCAATCAGGGCCCAGGAGGGCCATATAAAAAGGAGCTGCAATGCAGCGCAGGAGGGAGCTGGCCAGTCTTGGGCTGAGCTCTTTGCAGGAGAAGGGCTGCGTGCGGACAGAGCCGGGGGAAGAGTCCCAGGCAAATAGCATCTCCAAGGGGATACATACAGCCCCATGCCAGAGCCCAGGTTACTTACAGAGGGAGCCCCGGGGGGCTGGAGAAACTGCCTGAGAACCCGAAAAGGGGGTTGCTAGGGGACCAACCGCACAAAGCAAGCGAGGGGGCTCAGGGCAGAGAGGTGCTGGGCTGTGCTCCCCGGCATCAGGCAACGGCGCGTTTTGGGTGACCTCGGCGCGTGGCCGCCAGGCCTGGCTGCTTCCCCTCAGAGGCTGGCCGGGTCCCACCGCACGGCCTCTTTCTGTTTACTAGAGGCAGGCTAGTCCATACTGGGGGGGGCACCCCTCTATAGACCTGGCCTCCCTTTCTGGGGACAGACTCTGCAGTGACGTGGGGTGGCTTTGGGGGAACCCCCCCCACTCCGTTTCCAGCCCAGGGATCCTAAGGCAGCTGCAACAGACGGGGTTTGTTCTACTACTTCCCCCGAACGATCCCTCCAAGGGCCATTCCTCTGGGACCTGCTCCTCCAGCACCCACCTCCTGCCTTGCAGCTCCCAGCTCTGCCCCAAACACCTTTCAGCTCTGGCTCCTTCCCTCCCCCTCGCAGGCCACCTCATGCACTGAAAAGGAGCCCTTGGAAACCAGGCTCAGCTGGCTCTTGACTGGCCCCAGGTGGCCTAATTAGCCCGGCTCTGGAAGGCTCCTCGTTACCTCCAGGTGGTCCAACCGGCCTGCTTGTCCAGACCGCCTCTGGAAAGTCCTACCTGGCTCCAGGCCAGCCCCTGCCGGTCCACCCAGGGAACCGAGACGGACTCAGTCTAAGGCTCACATCCTGGCCTTCTAGCTCTCCTTTGTAACTCTCCGGCCTGACCCTGTGCCAGCACATTCCCAATCCTTTCCATGACAGGTCGGACCTCCCTGGTCCGGCACCCTCGGGGAGTTTGCCGGACCAGGGGAGGTCAAGGTGCCCACCCCAGCTGCTAGCCCTGCTCCCCTGCCAGCTCTGCTCTCCACCACCAGCCCGGCCCCTGAATCTGGCCAGCTGGGGCTCTCTGATCCAGAATATCCCTAGTCCTGCCGGATCATGGAGGTTGCCAGACCAGAGAGTTTAGAGGTTTAATCTGTATAGGGTGGGTTTTTCAGACTCAGTAACAACAATGTACAATTGTCTCTATTCGTCACTGGCTGTCCACCAAATAGAAACGCAAATACGTTGCTTTTCATTTTCTTGTCTTTTTTTTTTTTGGTGTGCTTTCTTTTGGGGCTTTTATTTTCCGGTTGCTCTGCTGAAGAATAGCTAGCTAGCACGTCTGCTGCTGTGCAAATACCACTCTCCATAGCTGCAGACTAGCTAGCTGGCTGGGCAGAGAGAAACAGAAGATCAACAAAAAACCACAGGCTGCTTTTCACGGCAGACTTGACCAGGGGACAAATTAAGCCATTAATCAAGAGGGGGTAGGGAGGAAGCCAGAGCTGGGATGGGAGGGGGTAGATGGGTCACTAGGCAGGTGGTGAGGCGCTGGGATGGGGTCCCTAGGGAGGGGGTGGAATCTCCATCCCTAAAGGTGTTTACGTCCCGGCGTGGCCAAGCCCTGGCTGGGTTGCTTGAGTTGGGGTTGGTCCTGCGTCGGGCCGGGGGCTGGATGTGGATGATTCCTGAGGTCCCTGCCCGCCCTGGGCTTCCATGGGTCAGGATCTGGAGAGGCAGTGAGGACCATGGGGGATAAGGGGGGTGCTGAGCTCAAAGCCCAGCAGCTGGAACCTGCCAGCCCCCCCACTCCAGGGCAGAAGCCAGAACCCTGAATCCG